AAAATACATCTTTCCCTTACTTATGCTAATTTGCTTCTTTTGTTTGTTGTATGAACCTTTTCCGAGTCCGTGATGGACTTGCCTTTCCTTGCATTATCGAGTTGAGCCATAGAGGCTCAAATTTCTTTTCATCGTTTGAGTCAGCCTGATTACCACAAATATGATGAGATGCAAAAACATGGGCTGGAAGTTCAGATTTCAGGTGCCCGGAAAGTTTTAAGATGGGCTTTGTACACGCTGTATACAGCTGTATACGCTGATTTACAAGTTCGGTACAACAAATACAGGTCGAAAAGTATGGAAATACAGGTTTGAGGCGAAATACAGGTGTCCGGAAGCAAAAAATACATGAAAAGAGCTAATATATATGCTCATATACACTGATATACATCCAGTGTATACGCAAAACGGGAATGAGATTGAAGCTTAAAAATATAGCGTAATTGGCCCAAGAAGGGGCCCAATTTCATTATCTCGTTTACTCTTCTAATTATTTGATTATGTGTTGACTAATCTTATTTAACTCTAACTTTAATTAACTTAGTTGAGTTCCCCAAAAGACGAACTATTTCTTTGTGTTGTTTTGTTTCTAACAAATCTGAGTTTATCAACTCTTGTATTTTCATTTATAATCTTCAGTCAAAAACCTTTTTTTTTTATCAGTTTAAAACAGTTTTCATATTTTGACTAACCAAAAAATGACTCAAATAGAAACCAATTAATTTAGTTTCGTTAAAATTCTAATTACCTGTCTCTAACTCAAATGTTTCAATTAAGGTCCCATTTTCTTAAAAAAAATAAAAAAAATTGCTTTTTGTTTAACTATTTTCTCAAAGTTAATCTAATAATGTAAATTATTATTATAAATACTTACTTAGTCATTTTCTCAAGAAGGTTAGTCAAAACTTTTATTCTTCAATTAATTTAAAATGATTTTCATGCTTTAATGTGTTAAATTGGTTTAATTTATTTTAAAATGAACTAAGTAAATTTTAATTTAGTCTAGTTTTATTAATTTTCTAATCACTTGCATCTTAAATTCAAAATATTTTCATTTTAGGTCTCTTCCTCTAAAAAGATAGAATAAAATGGTTCATTTCTTAATTATTTTCTCAAACTTAATCGAATAGTGTAGATTATTATATAGTCTTTATGTTAAATTATTTTATTTTATTTTTTAAAAAAAATAGTCAAATATATTTAGTCAAGTCGTAGGTCAACCGCATGTTAGCGGACACTTCGAATGCTTAAACCCTTCTCGAAGTGTAAATTGAACCCTGAACCCTCTTTGGTATTTTCAAAAGATTTTTTCTGTTTAAATCTTTGAAAATTATAAGTTTTCTTAATTTCTTTAAAAAATTAAGTGGCGACTCTTTTCTAAGTATTTTTCTCAAATTGTTTTATACTTAGAACATTTCAAAAATGTGATTTTTCTAAAAATAGGAAAATTATGACACAACAGAAATGGCGACTCTGTCGGGGAGTTAATTAAGTTCTAACCATAAGATTTGATTATTTGACTAATTATTATTAATTGCTAAATTGTTTATTTGTGCTTAACATGCTTAAATTGCTATAAACTGTTGCATTCATGGCATAACATATTCCGTCAAACAACGCTTATTTTTTTATTTTCCACTCAAAGGACGATTATGCGGGCCGCAGTCGTTCGTTAACCAAATTGTTCTCGGGGCACCCTGACGAATGTAGTTGGCTACTGGATAGTCAACGGTCGTTAATTGTCGCAGCCCAAGTAGTCTGCTTGGGACACCAATCCACTTTAAAGAAAACTCACTCTTAGTCATACTTGGATAGAGCAAGACCAAATCCCTGAAATTTAGCGCACTGACCTAAGATGACCCAATACCCAAGGCGTGTCGGGTCCATTAGAAAGACCACCTTGAGTCCAAAGGACCCACGACCCGAACAGACGTTCATAATTACGTGTTTGAAGGATGTATACGTTGTTTGACAAATTGTTGTGTCTTGGGTTTGGGGGGTATCTAATTTTTTGTATGTTTTTGTAGATGGCCAAGCAACACTTGAGTTTCAAAATGGTCACCGAGACGTCAAACCTCCTTCGTGTATGGTGGTACAATCTCAATGCATATCAGAAAATAGAACTTTCCATTCACTTAGGTCACCTCCCATCGATAATGAATCTCAGAGTCTGGCCTAAGTTCATTGAAGTGGTCACTCGATTTTGGGATGATGAGAGGATGGTGTTTCGCTTTGGAGATGTTGAAATGACACCAACTGTTGAAGAAATCAAAGATTGCCTAGACAACGTCGGAATGTGCCAGAAAAGGAAAAATCATCCAGATCATCACATTTTGCTACCAGATAAACCA